GCACATCTTGCCCAGGTGTGGTGGCTCACGCCTGTAATCCCAGCACTTTGGGAGGCTGAGGTGGGAGGATCACTTGAGGCCAGGAGTTCAAGACCAATTGGGGCAACATGGTGGAACCCTGTCTCTACTAAAAATACAAAAATTTGCCAGGCATCATGGTGTGTGCCTGTAATTCCAGCTGCTCGAGAGGCTGAGGCATGAGAATTACTTGAACCTGGGAGTGGGAGTTTACAGTGAGCCAAGATCCCGCCACTGCACTCCAGCCTGGGCAACAGAACAAGACTCCATCACAAAAAACAAACAAACAAAATGCTGCAAAATCAAATACTGAAGTCTAGCCAAAATATACCAGGGAACTTCTGCTTAAGGGGTTTCCATGCAACATAATAAATTCTCTTGAAAACAGAGAAACTATTTCCAGTTTATTTTCTAAATTGAGATATCTACTCAGCAATGTCTCATTGAAACTACTATTTGTTTAGTGTGTTTCAAAGAGCAGACAGAAACTTGAGCCCATCCTCTGTCCTATGACTAGGTTGATATTAGCAGGGCTTTGCAGTGCTTAGGGTCAGGACTGTGAGATTTACAGTTCCTACTGGAGGCGAATTATTTGTTTACAGCTGCTCTTCATATTTCAAAAGCACCTGGAAATAAACTTTGTTATTCAGAACAAAAGACTTCTCTGATATCAGCATTTCTTAAAATGTGTTTGGAAATATAGGTATGTTAGTCCAAAGGGATGGTATGAGGCTGAATTATTTAAGGAAATGATCCCATAGCTAAGCATGTTTGGGACATCTTCTTTTCTGCATTTCTCAGTCTCTTTATTACATAATATAAACTGTAAATTTTCAAATCTTTTTTCTGATCAGAAAGCATACTTTCCATCCATTGTCTTGCCCATGGAACACACTGCCCCAGAACACAATTAACGTGGAATATGTTATATATAGTATACATAACATATAGCACATATAACATGTTCTGGAAGATCTGGACTTCGAAGAGTTGTTACAATATTATTGCCTCATAAAAGGTCATTAAATTTTGTCTTCCTCAAAGTTTTATTTGGTTGTAATCAGTTCTTTTTAGTGGACTTTCTTCTATTTGCATAAGTATTTATTTTCAGGTTACATAATGGGAAAAAAGCATTCATTATTTATATGAATATTAGTTCTTTATTGAGAATCAGAAATATTTTAAATTTATTAAATTCAGAGGTAGTCATTGCCTCTCCCCAATAAACTTTACAGTCTTAGACAATCTGAACATTTGAATAAATTCTTAATTATAGTATAAAAGAAAGTGGCCAGGTGTGGTAGCTCATGCCTGTAATCCCAGCACTTTGGGAGGCTGAGGCCGGTAAATCATGCAAGAGATCGAGACCATCCTGGTCAACAGGATGAAACCCCATCTCCACTAAAAATACAAAAACTTAGCCAGGTGTGGTGGTGGGCACTGTAGTGCCAGCTACTCAGGAGGCTGAGGCAGGAGAGTGGCTTGAACCCTAGAGGTGGAGGTTGCAGTACGCCAAGATAGCATCACTGCACTCCAGCCTGGGCGACAGAGTGAGACCTCATCTGAAAAAAAAAAAAAAAAAAAAAAAAAAAAAAAAAAAAAAAAAAAAAAAAAAAAAGAAAAGGAAAAAAAAAAGGAATTTTCCAGGAAAACTGGTAAAATAAGCTATAAAACATCTATAAAAGGCTGTGAAAAACTACGATAAAATGGTAAGCAATACTGTACAAATATCTGCTCATTAGTTGACATAATGTAAAGTCTACAACAAACCCAAGCTTCTACTTTAGATACAGTACTGTGAACTTTCAATGCTCTTTAATCTGGATACCATAATTTCCACCCTTCCCCATCTAAAGTTATGAGGAAAATGAAAGGATCTATCATAAAATATACACCAACTGTATTGTTATCATATAGAATAACAAACAGACTTCTCAATAAGCAACTTATCTGTTGCAGTAAGACAATATGCTATTCTTACCTTTCTGGGTTCGCCAGGAAGAGATACTTCCAATCTAGCATCAGATATTTTCACTTTCTAAACATAGAGGTAACTTACAGCATTTTTAGAAGCAGATCACAAATGCAAATTTGCTTCTGGAACAAAACATAACATTGATTTCTTGGAAAAACTTCGGAAATGTTGAGAAAAAGCTTTTAACATTTCTGATACATCCAACAGTTCAAGTCTAAATGTAATACATTAAGCACCCAAATCAACACTTGTCATTTATCTGCAGGGACTTAGTGTTTTTCTAAAATACTCATCATTTAGGTCAGGCATGTCAACATTTACCAATATTTGAGTAGGTATACTTTTTAAGAAGATATATTATACTGCCTTCAAAATAATTGTTACCTGAGTGTTAACTATCCTTCCTCCATCTGAACAAGCACCAAAAATGTAGCATCTCTTACCACTGTTTCTAAGAGTCACAGAATCTCTGTTCAGTCAGGGGGTCTTCATTTTACCGATAAGAAAACTGAGTGTGTGGTAGATTTGAATCCAGGGCTTCTGCCTTTTTTATTTTTTATTTTTATTTATTTATTTATTTTTTGAGAGGGAGTCTTGCTCTGTCGCCCAGGCTGGAGTGTGGTGCAGTGATGCAATCTCGGCTCACTGCAACCTGGGTTCAGGGGATTCTCCTGCCTCAACCTCCCAAGTAACTGGGACTACAGGCGTGTGCCACCACACCGGCTAATTTTTGTAGTTTTTAAAATAGAGACAGGGTTTCACCATGTTGGCCAGGCTGGTCTCAAACTCCTGACCTCAAGTGATAGGCCTGCCTCAGCCTCGCAAGTTGGGATTACAGGCATGAGCCACCATGCCTGACTGCTGCTTTCTAAATATCAGTTCACTCCCATATTTTTCTCCCATCATCATGAATGTGTTTATCATGTTGGTTTCTCTATAAAAGGAATTCTAGCTGAACTTAGAGCCATGGAGCATAACCACCAGCCTACGAGGGAGGGGAAGAGCAGGAAAGGTGTTGCACAGGGCGGGGGTTTGGGTACCTGGTTTGGCCACAGTCAGAATACCATGATTGTGTTTTGTTAGTCTTTAAATGATTTTGAGTCTGATACCAAATTTTGATTTTAAAAAGATTATTTCAGCAAGAGGTTTACCTTAAGGCTCATGAACTCATTCTGATTTTAGTTTGTGTCCCTTCAAAAACTGCTATCTTAGAAAAGTTAGAACTCAATGCCCAGTTGAAAAACTGTTTGGGGCTTGATGGCAAATCAAGTTTAGTCTTACATACTTTTATTTGTAATATACCAAAGTCATTTTTGCAATATTATATTAATATGTACTTTCAAGGATATAATAAATTACCGCTTACTTAAATAATCAAGATATTCAGATTATTATAAGATTTTTTTTTGTTATCTATTGCCGACACACAAATTACCAGATTTTCTAAGTGGGTTAAAGAAGCCTCCAAATTGTGTTTATATTGACATGTATGATTTTGTGGATGCAGAATAAGCTGGGCATAGAAATGGCCTAAATGCTTCAGGAGCTCTTCATTCCTCTGTGGTTGTCATCACTCTCCATGCCATTATGGTTTCATTTCTAGATCCTGTAGAACTTTCAACTGAAAGTAAGAACCAAGGCAACTCATTTTCCGTAATACACCACACTTCTAGAAATCGGCCTATATTACTATTGCACTGGGGATTAAGTAAAAAAAGAGAAAGAAAAGAGGAAGGGGAGAGGAGGAGGGGAGGGGAAAGTAGAGGAGGAGAGGGAAAGTAGGAAGGAAGAAAGGAAGGTAGGAAGAGGAGAAAGAAGGAAGGAAGGAAGGAGTTTCAGGAAGGAAGGAATCTGCTCACCAGTTGCTATTGTTTTCTTTTTTTTCTGGTTAGTGCTTTACCCTTTAATTCTTACAGGTCATGGTTTAAGATAGAGTAACTCTCATAGAGAATTTGAGAAGCATTAGTACTTCAAATTGAGTCCTAACAGTAAAATTTAATCTGATAAAAAAAAAAAAAAGGTAGTTTGCAGTGCTGTTGACAGGTAACAAAATACCTTTACTACCAACATTAGGATCAATTTAAGGTCCAGTAAAAGGAATGTATCTGGGATTATTTTCTTGATTACAGACATGAAAACACTCTTCTGTCAGTGTTCCAAGTGAGCTGGAGATTGCCTAAGCATAAGACCTAGCTTCATAAAATGACAAAGCCCTAGGCAGTTTCTGGGAAGCACTGGGAGTAACAGGCTCCTGGAACCCCTTGTTTGTTCATTCATTCATTAAGTACCTACTATGTGCTAGGCTTTGAGGATATTAAAATGAATTGTTCCAACAAATTTAGTAGACCTTGGCCTCAAAGAGCTCACATTCTACTAGAGAAGGCACCCATGGAAGTAGAAGATTATAATACAATGTTGTAAATCCAATAGTAGAGATACACAGTTTATTTTGGGGAGCAAAGAGGAAGGGTCCCCAACCCCAGACTGCCTGGGAAGGGGTGAAATGGAATTGAATGGGATTATGGTCAGCCAAGGCTTCCTAGTGGAGCTGCTACCTGAACTGAGTTTTAAGAGGAGTGGGAAAGGAAAAATGTGGTGGTTAGAATGGCATTCCAGATACAGGGACACAAGCAGCTCTGTGTTTATAAACTATGAGCAGTTGTGGACTTTTGTTTCAAGTGGCTCCCCTTCCCCAGTGCTGTGTGAAGGAGGGACTGAAAGGAGCAAGGGACCAAAATGCTGTTGCAGCAGTGCAGGTGAAGCATGAGGTCTCAACTTTGCAGTGCTGACAACCAAGAAGAGCAGAATGTATCAATATTTATCATTAACATGAATCTTTTTTTTTGTTTTGAGACCGAGTTTTGCTTCTCCTCCCAGGCTGGAGTGCAATGGCGCCATCTTGGCTCACTGCAACCTCTGCCTCCTGGGTTCAAGCAATTCCCCTGCCTCGGCCTCCCCAGTAGCTGGGATTACAGGCGTGTGCCACCATACCTGGCTAATTTTTGTATTTTTTTTTTAGTAGAGATGGGGTTTAACCATGTTGGCCAGGTTGATCTCAAGCTCCTGACCTCAAGTGATCTGCCCGCCTTGGCCTCCCAAAGTGCTGGGATTACAGGCATGAGCCACCATGCCCAGCCAACACCAATCTTTAGTTACTTGCTGAATACATGGGATTAAGGAGGAGGAGAAAGTATCAGGGATGACTCCAAGGTTCCTAGCTTGGCGGTCCCAGTAACTGAGAAAGACAATGCAGCAGGAAGAGCAGCTCTAGGCGGAACAGGATGAGTATCTCCACATGATAGGTTTGAGGTACCTGTGAGTCACATCCAGGTGCATGTGTCCAGTGGGCAGTGGGATGTGAGTCTGAAGCTCAGGCAAGAGGCTAGAGTTATACCCTTGGAGTCATCAGCCTAACAGACGACTGTGGTGCCAGGTGCCAAAATCTATGGACACGTGGCTCTGGAGGGAGAGGGGCTTACTTAATTGACTTGTGTGCTTTGATGCTCTATAGAGACACAATCTTTTACCTTCAGGCTTGTATTTTCTTGGGCCACTCAAATATGCTTGCATATTTTCTCTCACATCTCCTAGAACATTTGCAAAACAATTCTCAGTCCTATAATTTCTCCCTTCTCTGAGAACTAAAAATATATGGATGGCACTTACTATCTCTTCACATATAGCACTCACGGTGAGGTCTTTTTTTCTTTTGAGACAGAGTCTCAATCTGTTGCCCAAGCTGGAGGGCAGTGGTGCAATTTTGGCTTACTGCAACCCCTGCCTCCCAGGTCCAAGCAATTCTCCTGCCTCAGCCTCCCGAGTGGCTAGGATTACAGGCACCTGCTACCACGCTCCGTTAACTTTTAGTAGAGACGGGGTTTCACCATGTTGGCCAGGCTGGTTTTGAATTCCTGAGGCTGGTGGGTGAGCCACCCGCCTCGGCCTCCCAAAGTGCTGGGATTACAAGGCGTGAGCCACCATGTCTGGCCTCATGGTGAGGTCTTGTATGTAGAAGATCAATAAATGTTCATCTTTATTGCTTATATTCATCCGGTTCTCTGGATACAAAATTATCTTCCTTTGGAAGGCATTTTTTTGCTTCTCAAGTTTTAACTTCTTACAAATTTTAAGACAACTTCAAGATTAATTTGAGTGTAAATGAGAAGTACGTGCTAGGTATGTGTCTTCCATTCATCATCAAGACTGACTCATTCTTCTCATTATCACTACATACTGCTTATTGCAGAATTTAGAAACATCCACTTTTCTTCAGGAAGATTCTGGAGTTTCTCAAGTCAAGGTCCCACTAGAGTGAGTTAGGGTTGCAGTAACCTGGAGTGAGTAATCCCTGATTCCAGGTGGTGATGTGGCTTGAGTTTCACATTTTACTTTGTTTGAAGAATATGTGCAAAAGAGTCACTAAAAATAAGAACAAACTAGGCTTTGTTGCAGCTGAGTGGCTTGGCAAGTTTCTGTACAGAGGAATCATTGGGCATGAAGGATTTGACGCTGGGATAGAATCCAATTGCCCTTGAAATGGAAGCAGAATATCCTTTTTAAGAGCACTGAAGTTCTGGGATTTCTCTGGAATAATTACCTTTGTAAGGTATGGCTCATGTCCAGGGACTGTAACCTGAGAAGAAACAAGAGACAATTATATGAGTGACTGAAGATGTTTGTTGGTGCCCACACTGAAAACACTGATCTCCACCACTAAAATGCAGCCTTTGTGCAACGCATGTCACAATCTGCCAGACTCTGGGCCAGCGGCAGATTTGGTCCTGCAGGCTGAGTTACCCAATGCCTGTTGACAGAGACCAGCGTTGTGGATGCTGTTGCCAAGAATTTCAAAATGAAATCAGGACAGATGGGTACCTTATCTGGGGATGTAAGTGAAGAGAAGGAAGCAGCAGATGATTCTGCCACCATCCTTTCCATGGGGCACAAAGGTAAAGAGTTAACTGTTTCCCTTTTTACTGTATGTATTTAACATCCTCCTTAGATATCAAGATTATTTACAAGTAGAATCATTAGAATTATTTTCTCAACTTACTCATTTCTCTTCAGTTGACCTACAAGTCTATTGCTTCATTTAAATGCCTGCCTGCCTTCCTTCCTTCCTTCCTTCCTTCCTTCCTTCCTTCCTTCTTTCCTTCCTTTTCTTTCTTTCTCTCTTTCTCTCTCTCTTTCTTTTCTTTCTTTCTTTCTTCTTTCTTTTCTTCCTTCCTTCCTT